ATGTTTGGCCATATAATACCAATCTCGAATATTCAGTTAAATCAGGGTATTGGTTAGCAACTCATGTTTTTGGTGAAGATGATATTATTGCTCCGCCTCCTGGTTCGATTGCTCTAAAAGCTAAAATTTGGAAGCTGGAAATTCTACCTAAAATTCAGCATTTTCTTTGGAGGGTAGTTTCAGGTGCTCTACCAACTTATGTTCAGTTATGTCTAAGGGGAATTAATACTGACCCGGTGTGTCAGAGATGCTGTTTGGAAGAAGAAACAATTAACCATGTCCTCTTCCAGTGTCCCCATGCATATGCAATTTGGCGTTGCTCTGGTTTCCCATCCCAAAATCTTAATCATGATGACTTGGAAGATAATTTAACTGAGATATTCACATTCATGGAACGGAATGATACCCCTGCTCGCCTATCCAAATATCCTCTTTGGATATTATGGTTTATTTGGAAGTCACGCAACGAATTTCTGTTTGCACAAAGAAATGTTCATCCAATTGATGATGTTCGTAGAGAAACGGCAGCAAATGAGGAATGGAATTGTCAATATAATTCTCCCAAGAAAATTCGGCCAGCAATTATTAAGAGCTCCGCATGGGAACCTCCCCCTCGAGAATGGTTAAAGTGTAATTTTGATTGCAGTTTTAGCAGAGTCTGCTATGGCTGGTGTTGGATGGATTGTACGAGCTAATGATGGGTCTTATCTCTGTTCTGGAATGGCTAAAATCAATAATGTTACCAGTCCGTTGTTAGGTGAGGCCTTAAGTCTACTGTTTGCAATGCAACAGGTTTGGATCCGCGGCTGGAGAAGAGTATGGTTTGAAGGAGACTGCTCTGAGTTGGATCGTATCATCAATCAAATAGTTCTGCAACACATTGACTTAGGAAATGTTCTATATGATCTTCGATATTGGATGACCCTTCTTCCGATGTGCTATTTGGGTGCGGTAAACAGAGAACGTAATATGGCAGCAAATATTATATCTAAGAAAGCAATAGAAAACTCTCATGATGTAATTAGCTTTCCTGTTCCTCCTGTATGGTTACTAAACTACTTGTATTGGCCTTTTACGGTCTGATTTCAATTAAATGTTGTTTCAAAAAAATGTAAGAATGAAAATTTTCTAACTAGATCATATAAGAATACTTTCCAATATTAACAACGTACGTACGTTAAACAACAAGAGAGAATTCAAATCCTATTATATGAGCCTGGGCTAGAATAATAGGCTAAGGCCCATTTGATTGAATATACTACCTCCGTTCTGAAATGTAAGACGTTTTAGAAATTTCACAGAGATTAAGAAATAATAAATGCACTTTCTCTCTAAACATTTGTGATTAATGGTTTGCTTGATTCTACACCAAAAGTTGCCGGCATATTTGTTTTTCTATTTTTTTTATTGTAATTGCATTTAAATCATTTTGCACATTTCTTGTTAACTGTTCATATTCCTTGAATAATGAATGTAACTTACTAGAAATCATTTTTTTTTTGATCTCGTAAAATGATTCAAATATGGAGGTGAAACTAATTTTGTTGCAAAGCAAAAATTTTAGAATGGAGCCAAAACTAATTTGTTTTGGAAAGCAAAATTTTTAGAATGGAGCCAAAACATATTCTAAAATGTTCTATATTAAGACATCATTTTCCAGTTTTATAATCAACTTTCATTCATGGCTTTTCATGATTTTGATTTAAATATACCATTTGAAAACAATAATAGAGATTTTTTGTTTGATTTGAATCAAAGTCCAGCAAGAGAAAATACTTCTTTCGACAACATCTCAACCTTTCCAGTTTATGATGGTGAAGATTATTCTCAGATAACTCCAGGTTTTTGTTTATATATATGTGTATTAGACACTGTATTTTGAACGTGTTTTGCTTACGTTACGTGTTTTGTTATCATGCAGTTTAGTTGAAACGTGTTCACTCCATGTTTACTTAAAACAAGTTTTTGTCATCTTTTTGTCTTATTGTCACCGGAAACAAGTTTTTGTCATCTTTTTATCTTATCTTAATTTTTCCTTATTATGTTGATTTTTAATCATTTGATAATGACTTTGTATAATTTGAGAATTTAAAATTTGGTGTTAGATTTGAGGCTTCGGACAAAAAAGAAACTAGTGCTATTATGGAGATTTTATCTTTTGTTATTCAACTTTATATTTTTGTTTTTATGTTGTATTTTCGGTTTGACAAATGAGACTTCGATAGTTATTCTATTAGTGGGGTGTTTTACTACATATGTAAATTTATTCTTGTCAGAAAATTTCACTAATAGTTTGATCTTTCAATTAGTTTTTCATCATTAAAAAAATACAGTATGTAGTAAAAATAAGAAGACAAAATGAGACGAGTGTCTCAGTTGCGAGTCTTGAGACATTCAATTTTTTTTTGAAACTCTTGTGTCATCTGCATTGTACCAATTGTCTATGTGTTTTGCTTACGTTACGTGATTTGTTATCATGCATCTTACTTATAATTCTTTTTTTTTGTTGTAGGAGAAAGCACGGGAATGCAGCAAAGTTCACAACATGATATAGTTCATCGGAAACAAATGACAGATGGAGAAAGATTAGAGATTTACCATGCTCTGTTGGAGAGGAGCATTAATGGAAAACTGAAAAAAAATCATACAACAGAGGTCTCTGATTTCTTCTCTGTGCCTTTACAGACAGTGCAAAAAATTTGGAGGAGGGCCAAGGGTACTTCTAATGGTGANAAAGTTCACAACATGATATAGTTCATCGGAAACAAATGACAGATGGAGAAAGATTAGAGATTTACCATGCTCTGTTGGAGAGGAGCATTAATGGAAAACTGAAAAAAAATCATACAACAGAGGTCTCTGATTTCTTCTCTGTGCCTTTACAGACAGTGCAAAAAATTTGGAGGAGGGCCAAGGGTACTTCTAATGGTGAAAGGGTTGATGTATCCCATAGAAGAAAAGGTAAATGCGGTCGAAAGAAAATTCATATTGATCTTTCTCGAATTATTGATATTCCCTTTCATCGCCGTAAGACTTTACGTTCGTTAGCGGCTTCTTTGAATGTGAGCTGCACATCACTATTTCGATGTCTAAAAGAAGGGCTCATCAAACGTCACACCAATGCTATAAAGCCGTCGCTGAGAGAAAACACCATGAGGGTTCGATTACAGTTTTGTATCTCCATGCTCGACAGAAGTACTATGCCCGATCACCCGAAGTTTTCTGCTATGTACGATGTTGTACATATCGACGAGAAGTGGTTTTACATGACAAAAAAAACAGAAGCTTATTATCTTCATCCAAGTGAAGAAGCTCCACCGTATCGTACTTGTCAAAGTAAAAACTTTATTGGGAAGGTGATGTTTTTAGCAGCCATGGCACGTCCGCGTTTTGACGATGAAGGTAATGAAACTTTTTCAGGGAAAATAGGAATTTTTCCATTTGTTAAAATGCAACCAGCTCAAAGAACAAGTAGAAATAGACCAGCCGGCACTATGGAGTTGAAGCCGATGACCTCCATCAAAAGAGAAGATATAAAAGAGTTTTTAATTGAAAAGGTGTTGCCACGAATTCGTGAAAGATGGCCACAAGAAGATTTCGGAAAAACTATTTATATTCAACAAGATAATGCACGGACACACGTTGATCCGAGAGATGAAGATTTTCAAGCAGCTGCTTCTCAACATGGTTTTGATATTCGTTTAGTGTGTCAGCCACCGAATTCACCGGACTTGAATATTCTCGACCTTGGATTTTTTAACGGCATTCAAACACTACAACACAAAGTGTGTCCGAAGACAACGCAAGAACTTGTTTCTGCAGTANTAATGCACGGACACACGTTGATCCGAGAGATGAAGATTTTCAAGCAGCTGCTTCTCAACATGGTTTTGATATTCGTTTAGTGTGTCAGCCACCGAATTCACCGGACTTGAATATTCTCGACCTTGGATTTTTTAACGGCATTCAAACACTACAACACAAAGTGTGTCCGAAGACAACGCAAGAACTTGTTTCTGCAGTAGAAGAGTCATTTGATGAGTACTCTTCAAAGTATGTGAACAGGATATTTTTGACTTTACAATCATGTATGCAGGAAATTATGAAGATCCAAGGTTCAAACAATTACAAAATTCCACATTTGAAGAAAGCCATCATGGAAAAGGAAGGCAATCTACCATCACAGATGAGTTGTGATCCTCTTTTAGTTCGTAATGTAGTGAATTATTTAGCAACTTGAGTTCTTTTATTTATCATGTTTTTTTTCCATCTTGCTTACTCTTGGTTCTTTTATTTATCATGTTTTTCCATGTTGCGTACTCTAGTTTTAAAGTCACGACAACAAACATCATCAAAGATTCTTCCATGTTACTGTTACATAATCTTATTTTAAATGTCAAGACAACAGACACCATCAAACATTCTAAACAAGAAAACAATAAAAACCAAGGTCTCAGAGACTTGAATCAGAATAAGGAAGATTACTTAGACAAATATTTAGGCAAAAAAATTTTCACCAGCTCCATCACATTAACCTCCTTCTTCTTGTTAGGATGAAGCTCTTCTTCATCATAGTACTCCTTGTTCAAATCCAATTCTTGAGTGGTGTAAGATTTGATCTTATAAACATCTCTTGACTCTCCTTTGAAAAATTCTTCCAGTTTCATTTTTGATTTCACCTCTTCCTCTGTTTTCATTTGTTTTTGTATTTTGTTCTGTTTTTTCTCTGTACTTTGAGAAAGAAAGCTTAAATATAGAATGAAGGAATTAAACGTTACCAAATACGTAATCTTTACCCAAAAAGCATTAATGCATGTCCTTGTAAATATCAAATGCTAGTAATTGACTGAGTTTATTCTTCATCGTAATAGGAAAAAACATTAATGACAATACAAAAAATCTTTCTTTGTGGAACAAAGAAAAAACCCAAAACGTCTTAGGAGGTAGTAGTTTTTTATTAATTTTCCTAATCTTCTCTTTCCAGCCACTTCGATGCATTTGCTTGCTTTATGTCTCCCCTAATTTCCCCAGGAAAGATTCTTCCATCGTATCTATAGGATCATCCAGATTCAGCCTCCCCAGATTGTGTGAAAGGTTAGTTTTTTCTCCAATATTGCTGAATCGGAAAGCTTGCGGCTTTCTGATTCTCCTTCTTTTGACCATGATCATGTCTTGTTTCAAACTTCCGATATGGATCTCGCTCCTTCTTTGCTCGTCTTCATCAAAATTTCTGAAAATATATAAAATGGTCGATTTCGAACTTTAACTTGTAATTTTATGCTAAATCGCAGATTTGATCAGATGGTTCTGATCTGATCTTAAATTTCGAAGCTTTTGTTGGTAAAAATTGCTAACAGAATCAGTCAACACTTGTGTGAAAAGTAGTTTGATCTTCTGTCTGAATATCTGATTAAAAACTAACCATATGTGTCACTGTTTCTGTCTCAGCAGCAATGTTCAGTGAAGAAGTCTTGAAGAATGTTTTTCCATTGCTTGAAGGTGAAGATCTCGCAGCTTGTATGGGTGTATGCAAACAATGGAGACATATAGCAAGCGACGATTTTTACTGGAAATGTCAATGCGCCAAGAAATGGCCTTCCGTTTGCAAACGAACCAAACCGCCCACAGGAACATACTACAAGATGTTTCAAACGTTTAGCAAACGGCGGCTAAACCGCACCCTCCCTCCTCCAAGGCTCTCCTTCGAGAAATTGGAGTTCTTCGTAGACATTTGGTCCGAAGACAAACCGGTTTTCTCTGGTTTAATACCAGGTCTTGCGATGGAAACAGGGGTTAAAGCTTTACCATCAGGGATCAGCAACGTTCTTAGGACTCACTTAGGGAAACCTGATTACAAAATGGTTGTTCCCGCTGAGCCAAGATTCACTATTCCGTTAAACCAGACGGTTAGTGTCTCTATGCTTGTGGGAAGGAATGATTCAGACAAGGTTGCTCGAATAACTAACCGGTCTGTCTTTGAGTATATCGACCGTTCGTCGTACCGGGCTCTTGCTTTTGAGTATCTTGACTTATCTCCTTATTATCCTTTTGTCTCTGGGATAAGAGCGTGGGTCTCTTTACTTTTCATGGATGCTGAGGATATAAACGATGGGGTTCTTGATGTTTTTGGGATTCAGTTGGATTTCTGTGATGTTGCTGAGACTAAGGAAGAGGTTTTGTGGCTTCTTGATATGCTTGATTGGAAATAAAAACATGCTTCAAGACTCTGTCTCTAATCACATTAAAGCTCTTTAGGCACAAATGTTCTTTCGTCCAGTGCTAATCTTTATACAACACACTATTTTTTTTTTGTTTAACACTAGTTTGATTTTGATCTTTATAAATAATATACCGTCCTATATTTTCCGGGTTGATGCGGTTCCGCTTCTTCGTCGATCTATGGTATGGTGTTCTTCAGCCTTCTATCGGATCTGTTTCATCCTTAATGCAGTTGCTGTTGTGTGTTTGTGCTCGGTGTCTTCCTTCCGTCAAGGCTTGTGTACTTTGCTTTAGTGTTCTTCTCAGAAGTTGTTGGTGATCCGGATTATACTTGTGGCTTCGCCAGAATATCCCCTTTTTTCTGGGACAAGGGTTAGCAAGAAATCTGTGTTATCCTTGTTCTTAGCTTCTGGTTGAATTTTCTTCTGCTTGTTCTTTGCTTTGTGGGTCACCAATTTGCTCTAGCATTGCTCTGTTTGAAGGTCTTTGGCATTTGGATCGTTGGTTTTGGTTTGTTATGTCCAATGGTTTATTAGGTCTCCCATTTGTGGGCTTCAGTTTCAGGACACTTGGTGTCTGCGTCTTCCTGTTCAAGTGTTTCATCCATGTTGTACCAAGCTTTAGTAATGGAATTTCACAGATGAAAATAAATATTAGTAATAATTATAATCTATTTCTCGTTTAATATTAGTCTAAGACTGGTAGTCTACTTGTTTACGCAAGTGTTGCCGCAATGTTTTGTTATTGTGTGCTTTATCAACTATATATCAAATCACATTTGGAAAAATTTGGATTTAGTTGGATTCAACATTTAAAATTTAGTTATATGTTTAACATCTCGTTGAATCCAAAATAGTTACAAATATTAATCAGGTTATCGTATTTGGAAAAATTGAAATGTCGAAATGAAAAAGTTTACAGAAACAAAAATGGGGCGTATTTGGAAAAATCGAAATGAAAAAGTTTACAGAAACAAAAATGGAAACCCCCAAAAAATTCTTCGTATACCACAAGTTAAAAGTGAAAATTAGGCAGGAGCTCAATTATTGACTAATGGAAATTAAGGGACTATAAGTCAGGTGAATGTGGGTATAGTGGGGCATACTATAGATCATATTAGAACCTGTTATATAGATGGAGCATGGAGACATAAAGACACTACAAGAAAACTAAGAGTTTACTAGAAAATTTTACTAGGAAAATAATTCCTCGTAAATTTACTACGAGATTACTTCGATTTTACGAGGAAAACAAGTATCCTTGTAAAGTTCTCGTACACAAACGAAAAAAATGTTTCCTCGTAAGACCGTAGTAAAATTATGAGGAAACTACGTGGCAAAAGACCATTTCCTCGTAATCTCATAGTAAATACTTTCCTCGTAAAGTCCTAGTAAAACATTACTACGAAATTAGGAGGAAATGATCTTTTACTTCAAATTAGCGAGGAACTTGATAGAAAATATCTAATTTAAATCTAAAACGTGTTTTGTACCTACCTTTCCTAGCAATTTCATAGTAAATGCTCAGATTCAAAAATTTCTATAAGTACCACCATTTGTGATTCATTTCAAACACACCAAAAAAAATCAGCTTTAAACTTGATCAAAGACAAAAAAAATTGTCTGGTCCGGGAAATATTTTCGAGTTGCGGAATTGGATTTATTCACACAGAGATAATAACAGGAGAGTGACGAAAGAATTTCTCGAAGGGTTTGAGACGTTTATGCATCAAGAAGATTCTACAACACTCACGCAGGAAAATGGTAATATGTTCTGTCCTTGTCGGAAATGCTGCAATACAAAATTAGGCCCTCGTGAAAAAGTTTGGAAGAATTTAATAAATAGAGGTTTCTTGCCATATTATTATATTTGATATCAACATGGAGAAGATGCTAGTTGTAGGAATGAAGGTAGTAGTAGTAATAGCAATTTTCAGGTTGAACCGGTTGATCATTTGCGTAATGAAAATAGTTATCATCACCAAGAGGAAAAAATGGTAGATTGTGATAGGGTTCATGATATGGTAGGTGATAACTTTGTAACTCATGATGATGATGAAGTTGAAGAACCTAACTTAGATGCCAAAAAGTTTTATGAAATGTTAGATGCTGCGAATGAGCCAATTTACAGTGGTTGTAGAGAAGGTCTGACTAAATTGTCGTTGGCTGCTAGAATGATGAGTATTAAAGCTGATCACAATCTACCTGAAAATTGTATGGATGCATGGATAGACTTGTTTAAAGAGTATTGCCAGAAGACAATGTGTCTGCTGAATCTTATTATCAGATTCAGAAATTGGTATATAGTCTTGGGTTGCCCTCGGAGATGATAGACGTTTGCATCGACAACTGCATGATTTACTGGGGAGATGATGAGAAGTTAGAAGAATGTCGATTTTTTAAGAAGACACGATTCAAACCGCAAGGTCGAGGGCGTAATAGAGTACCGTACCAAAGGATGTGGTATCAACCAATCACATACAGATTGAAAAGATTGTACCAATCTGAGGAGACTCCTAGAGATGAGATGGCACGCCGAGCATACTCAGACGGATGGAGAGATGACTCATCCATCAGATGCAAAAGCCTGGTGGATTTAGTCCATTTGGAATGTCAGGGAGACAATATTCATTGTGGCCGGTCTTTCTTACACCGTACAACCTGCCACCGGAGATGTGCATGCGACGAGAGTTTTTATTCTTGACCATATTAATACCTGGTCCAAAGCATCCAAAAAGATCTCTCGACGTTTTTCTACAACCACTGATAAAAGAGTTCAAAGATTTGTGGTAACCAAGGGTGAGGACATATGATTGTTCAACGAAAACAAATTTTACGATGCGAGCGATGCTTTTGTGGACCATAAGTGACTTTTCTGCATATGGGATGTTGTCTGGGTGGACTACACATGGGAGATTAGCTTGTCCATATTGGAATGGAAGGACAGATGCGTTTCAGTTGAAGCATGGTAGGAAGACTAGTTGGTTCGATTGTCACCCTCGATTTCTTCCCGTCTACCACTCATACCGAAGAAACAAGACATTGTTCAGGCACAAAAGGGTTGTTAGAGAAACTCCTCCTCCATATTTAATTGGAGAACAAATCGAAGCGCAAATCGATTACCACAGTGCTCTAGAAACAGCTCCTCGTGGTGGGAATTGACATGTTCCTAATAATATGCCTGATTCTTATGGAGGTCAGCATAATTGGCACAAAAAGAGTATATTTTGGGAATTGCCATATTGGAAAGATCTTCTTTTGTGCCACAACCTCGATATGATGCATATAGAGAAGAACTTTTTTGAGAAAATCGTGAACACTATATTGAATGTCCCAGGGAAGACGAAAGACAACGTTAAATCGAGGTTGGACTTACCCGATATCTGCTCAAGGAGTGAGCTACATATAAAAAGCAATGGGCAAGTTCCACTTCTGATATTCAGACTCTCATCAGAAAAAAAGTCTGCGTTGTTCAACTGGGTGGCTTCAGAAGTGAAGTTCCCTGATGATGGGTATGTTTTAAATCTCTCAAGATGTGTTGAGAAAGAGAAAAAGTTCTCCGGGATGAAGAGCCATGATTGTCATGTCTTTATGCAGCGACTACTTCCCTTTGCATTTGCGGAGCTACTACCGGCAAAAGTACATGAAGCACTTTCAGGTAATTAATATAATACGACGCAAATATTAATTTATTTCTTTATATATATACTAATGTGTATAATTTTTGTTTTTGTAATATATAAGGAATTGTAGTATTTTTTTAGGGATCTGAGCACCCACACTCTTAAAGAGAAAGTTGTCTAACAACTTCATGAAAACATCCCCATCTTAATCTGCAACTTGGAGAAAATATTTCCGCCTACTTTTTTGACGTCATGAAACACCTAGTTGTCCACCTCCCGTATGAGGCATTACTTCTTGGACCTATGCATTATGGATGGATTTATCAGTATGAAAGGGCCATGAAAACTTTGAAAGAAAAAGCCAAAAACCTAGCAAGAGTTGAAGGTTCTATTGTTGCGGGAAGTTTGATGGAAGAAACATGACATTTCACATCGTACTACTTTGCACCGAAAGTGCGTACAAGGAAACGAGCTCCAAGAAGATATGATGATGGTGGTGTCGTGCTGACATATATAGAAGACGATGTTCCAGACATCTTTTGTCAAATTGGGCGATTGGGTGGGAAATTGAAAGAGGTTTGGTGGTCGAGTGATGAAGACGTCCATAGTGCACACCTTTATCTTCTTCTTAATTGCGAGCATTCATTGATTGGTTATTTTGAAAGGTAAATATATAAAATACACTTATATATATATATATATTTTTTTTTTCAATATTAAATAACATAACATATATGATTTTACAGCCAATTTGTGACTCAAGTCGAAGAAGCAATACATGGTATATCGACAACTGAGTTAGACAAAAGAAAAGATCAACACCATATCAAGTGGTTGAGGAAACATGCATTTATTATAGCTTAAATTTTATGCATACATTACCACAAAGTAAGTCTAATGTCTAGTACTATTTTTTTTTTTGCAGGTTGGTTATGACGATCCTGAGTATCCTGCATGGTTTCGCGAATTACTACAAGGTCCAGTTGCAAAGGTCACTGCATCATCGATGTATTTCACCCGAGGCTATACTTTACATACCTATGACTATGGTAGACACCGGACGACAAGTAATTATGGAATATGTGTGAAAGGCGAAACAGATTTCTACGAGATCTTGCAGGATATTTATGAAGTTCAATTCCCAGGTATGAGTTTGAAATACGTTATCTTAAAGTGTGAGTGGTACGACCCCGTCGTCAACAGAGGTGTTCGGATTAACAAGAACGGTGTAGTTGATGTCAATGGTGGACAAAGGTACAACAAATCCTTTTTTTTTTGACATCCAGGTTTCGAGTACTAATTAATTTCTACGTTGTCTTTATTTTTGCAGGTACAATAAATTCGAACCTTTCATATTAGCTTCCCAAGCAGATCAAGTTTGCTTCATTCCATACCTTCGGATTACTACCTCGGGAATAAACTGGTTAGCTTTTATCAAAGTTACACCTCAAGGACGAATAATCACTATAGAAGAACCACCATTACAAGAAGAAAACACCAATGAAATAGAGGAACCTGGAGCAGAAATTGATGACATCCTACTCATTGATCCGCATAATCGTGAATACGAAGATGTTCCTGATCACTCGACGGACGAAGGTGTTGAGGACGAGTTTTACGAAATTATGATGTTGCAACAGATTACGAGAATGTATCCGAATGAATTATGTATGTTTTATAAGTTTGTTTAATCACAAAAAGGAATTTGAATTATATGTATGTTTTAAGTTTGTTTAATCCCAAAATTAATTTGAATTTGGGGTTTATGTGTAGAAGAGGTTTGAAGTTTGGTTGTAGAAGAGGTTATAAGTTAAGGAAGTTGTGGTTTGGGGTTTGGGGTTTCGAGTTTAGGGATTTACAAACCCTTTCCTCGTAAAACCCTAGTAACAGAAAACACAGGCAGCTATTTCCTCGTAAAGGTTGTTTCCTCGTAAAGTCCTAGTAATATTGTTACTAGGATTTTACGAGGAAATAAACGCTGGCATAGCTATTTCCTCGTAAAGGCTGTTTCCTCGTAAAGTTCTAGTAACAGTATTACTAGGACTTTACGAGA